AAGGAGAAAAGGTGGGATGCATGTATCACCACCACCACCCCCTCAAGAGTGATTCAGTAATGAGGGGGAGAGCACTCAGTTAAGAGTATGTAAATCAGTTTTATGATGTCCAGGCAGCTGACCACTCACAGCTCTACACCCTCACTTCCTAACGAGACATGTAAAGGGGTGAAGAAAAAGGAATGCATCGAAAATGCTCACTCTGGTCATATGTCATGATCTAGGAGTTGTGAGCTGGGCATTGTTTTCAGTGCAAACATTGACAAGTAAAGTGGGTGGGGGTATCGGGGAGCCCTAAAAACTGCAGCTGTTCCACTATGCTCTCTGGAGTTCACATTTGCAATTTTCTTTCTGTCCTTTCTTTGTTGTTTTTAGCTCCATGCCACAACTATGATTCCTTTTATTGTTGTTCATAGTAGCATTCTTTGAATTAAGCATAAATTGGATGGGTGAGATGGGGTAGGAAGATCAGAAATATCAGCAGGATTGGGACACACTATGGGAATTGTGAAGTGTGGCAGTGGCTTATATATCCAGAATTAACATTTGTATCAGCTATGTAACATTTTAAATATGAATGCCAGCAATTTCATAGGGCTAATATTTGTTTTAGGCTGCCAAAGAGCCCATATCCATTTGTAGGGGAAGTACTAGGTACCTAAAGCATCCTGAAAAAGATGCATAACTTTGCATAAGCTATTTTACATATGCGGTAAAGTCTCTCCAGGTGTGGCTTTAAAGGAGCCTGCATGCTAAGGACATCCTGTTTTTATTTCTTATATTTCTATCCTGCCTTAAAGGAATCAAGACAGTTTACATAATCTTATCCTTACAACAACCCTGTGAGGTTCATTTGGCTGCAAAAAGAGGGATTTGCAAGAGGGATTTGTGGACAGGGGAGTGGAGAACATTTGGTTAAAACCCAGAATAAAGAACCACAAGCAGAAAGATTTGGGGGGTGGGGGGCAGCAGGAGGCAAAGCACATGTGGGCAAAAACCTGGCTAATCCAGGGGGATGAGATTCCACAGAGATCACTGGGGGGCCCGTGTGCTTAGTTCAGCAAGTGCCCGTGGACAGAGGAGTCTGGGCAGAGGGCCTCCTGGTGCTCCAGGTGAAAGGTTTGGGGCTCCAGCCCTAGTGGACCACTCCCTAAGTCTGCCTCTGCCCATTTACCTGGGAATGATGAAACAAGATAAGGCAAGCATAGGATCACCCTGTTAATATCCTGTTCGTAGTCTCGCCTTGTGAATTAGACACACCCATTGAAAAGTGAGCAGGGCCCCTCTGCTTGCACAGAATTGCCCCTGCCCCTCAACCCAGCAATGGCAACCTGAGCAATGAGACACACGCACCAGTGTTTACCCCCAGCCAGGGCAGCAGAGAAGGCAGGAGGCAGACTGGAGAGATCAGAGGCAGGCAGAAGGAACCTGTGGTGGGGGTCGTGGGGGACAGGCCAGGGAAGCAGGCAGCAACAGGCAGCATTCACACAGCTCCAAGACCAAAAGGAGCAGCAGCTGCTCCTTGAGACGCGCCTGCTGCGGTCAGTTTGGAAGGGGAGGTGCAGTGGCCTAATGGGAAGGTGCTGCAGGAGACAGCATTTCTGGCTCAGTCTGCCCCTCTCCCCAGCCCACCAGCTGAGCAGAGGCCTCACTCTGCTCCATGGACAGGCCAACCCTGCTTGCTGCAATTGGCCAAGGGTTCCTGGTGGAAGATCCTGTTTTAGGTAAGGAGGCTGCTGTTTTTATCTGATTATTCTCTGAAAGAGGAAAGTGATGCGACTTAACTGCTGCCAGAGACTGCTTTCAAGCATATCTCTGTGAGGTTCATGATGAAAGTGAAGCAGCCTGTTTGTTATTTTTGTTTCTGTGTTGCTTAGCACACATTGGACTGTACAGCTCTCCAGGAAGAATGCAATGCTGCCTCTTTCATGCCATTCCATCTGTTATATATTTCTGCATCTACGCTTACTGCACCCTAAAGCAGGGTGACACATTTTGATGAACAGCTTTCTCAATCAAGCCTATAAATAAAGCCTATTATTCCAAAGGGGTACTAATTGCTGGGCATGAACATGGAGATATACAGCTGTTTGGGTCTTAAAGTAGCAATGGGAAGCATATGGGGCTGTTTCTCAGCAGAAACCTTGGCCATAACCAGATGCACTCACACCACAAAAGGCTTCACCATGGTCCTCTGAGCAGAGGAATTCAACACAAATTGCAATCCACACCATGGCCCAGGGCAGCGGATATCTGTGCAGTCCCAGCATCGAAAGGACAGTGTCTGGTATTTCAAGCTGATGCCATACAGTCCTTCCCCAAAGTCTCTTTCTCTCTATTGGAAGTTGTTTTATAGGAGCAGTTATCAGTTGCATCCAGTTCTGGGCAACACACTTCAGGAAGGATGTGGACAAGCTGAAGGGGTGTAGAGGAGAGTGACAAGGATGATCAAGGGTCTTGAAACCAAAAAGCCCTACGTATGAAGAGAGATTGAAAGAGCTTGGCATGTTAAGCATTGTGAAGAGGAGACTGGGGGGAGATTCAGATTCGATAGCACCTTTCAAACATCAGTAGGGCTATCACACACAAAAGGGCCATGATCTCTTCTAAGTCATGCCAGGGTGTAGGTCATGGAATAATAGGCGCAAGTTACAGGAAGCCAGATGCTGGCCAGGCACTAGGAAAAACTTCCTCTTAAAGCAGTACAGCAAGGGAATCAATTACCTAGGGAGGTTGTGGGCTCTCCCGCACTGGAGGCATTCAAGGGGCAGTTGGACAGCCATCTGTCAGGGATGCTTTAACTGGAGTCCCGCACTGAGCTGAGAGTCAGACTTGATCGCCTTATAGGCCCCTTCCAACTCTCCTAGGATCAGTAAGCGGCAGAACCATGGCTGCAGTTGCATGCATGCCCTGCTTGTGGGATCCTGTGAGCAGCTGCTTGGCCATCATGGGAACAGAAAGTAGGACTAGATGGACCCTTGCTCTGATCCAGCAGGGCAATTCTTTGTCTTGATGTGCTTTTAGCAGGAATGGACTTTTGGATTATCATTAAACCCTTGCATATGCTGCCTTTCTTCCTCTTGTAGGATATGCAAGGTGGCTAACAAGGTCCCTCTCCTCTCCATTTACCCTCACAACAAAACTGTGAGGTCAGTTAAGCTAAAAGTCTATGTCTGGCCCAGAGTCACCCAGTGAGCTTCATGGGTGAGCGGAGACTGGAGCCCGGATCTCCTGCATCCCAGCCCTGCACACCATCCACTGTGCCACACCAGCCCCATGCCTGCCATTTCATGCTGGAAATTAGGTGGACATCCTGGTAAATAATTGACTTCATCCAAACTAATTCCAAAATGGGTACAGGCAAGTTTGGCCAGCTCTAAACAGGAAAAGTGAGAGAATATGTAATTTTACCCAGTGGAAGGAGGCATAGGGCCCCTCTAAAAAATGGGAGTGGGAGCATTGCAACACCCCAGCAGTGGTTGCAGCACTGGCAGTGCTCCGCCTCCTTGCCTCTTCAGCGCTACTCTTGAGCATCATCGTTCCCATTGCAGGAACATGGTTAGTAACAGCACTATGAAGAAGGCATACTTAGGGTCCCTTTTCAGCAGTCATCACACCCAGTATTAGGGCTGTTCCATAAGAGACTTTTAACCTGCCATGTTACCAGGGCTTCTGTTTCCAGATGTTCTGTGAGATTAAGAGCAGCTCCAGTTGCATGGGTCTTCCCCCCCATGGATTTTCTCCCTTTGCCTTTCTCTATGGTCCATTACACAACCAGTAGGTGGCGCTGTGGTATAGCTGAACTGCACTCATGCACCAGGGTTTCATGCCCCTGTTCCACAGAGATTATCAACCTGTCTTCATGGGGTGGGGGGGGAGCTATCATGGTTGCAAAACACGGGAAAGGCTCTGGAGGGTGACAGCATGGCATAAAGCATCCACAGAACACTGTGAGCAAGGATTTGTAAGTGCTCAATAAATGCCTGGTGTAGAAATCGGAACAGGAAAAGCTCACCAGATACTGCTGGTGTCTCATTTCTGGCACAAGCAGGACAAAGGATCTTATGGGGTCTGGGAGCAAGAGAATGCCAGCCCCATGACAATGGTAAACCTGTTTGCACCGCCCAGTGCATTCAACCCATTGATCCATTCAGACGTTGCTGTGCGATTTGGCTGCTTTTCGTGGAAACAGGAAATAGATTCCCAGCTTCATGTTCTCTTCTCATAGTCAGGCACGACAGAAAAAGACAATCCTTGTCTTACTGACATACCCAGGAAAAGCTGGCTAAAATTAAGCAATGCTTCTGTATGGCCTGAAGTGCTTGATCCTGCCTAATCTTGAAAACTAAGCAGGGTCAGGCTTGCTTGAAGTCTGGATGGTTGACTTAAATGTTCTAAACTGCACAGAGAGCTTCAGCCATGGGAATGATAGAAATGTGATGTAATAATAATAATCCTCTGAATCACTCTCCACACATTCCTTCAGGGGACTCAGGGGGCTTTGGGCTATTTGTAGCAGGCTCACGGGTGGCATCCAGAGTGACATGACATCTCGACTGACGCTGGCAGAAATGGACTTCCCCAGCCCTCCTCTCCTTTGCAGTCCCTCCTGCCCCCTGAGAGTGCTACCTAGGCTGAGAAGACTGTACTGAATGGGATAATCTGTGGTTGTGCAGGGAGTGGGGACAGAAGGGGGAATCTGCCAAAATCAGGAGGAAGTGCCTTCTGCAGACAGAGCTCCCACTTTTCAAGAAGGCTAGTTTTGGACCGAACCCCCAGACTCTCCATACCAAAAATCAGTCTGGATTAACTGACCATACAATGTGAAGTTTCATAAGGTAATGTAAGCTGGTTGCTGGTCAAAATATAATGTGTGTTCAGAGATGTTCGGCAGGATAAACTTTTCTGTCCATATTATGAAGACGACACAAGCACGGTACTGCTTCCTCTTCACCATTAGTATGGATGACATGTCGTTTTGCTATGCGTTGAATTCACAGATGCAGCTAGAGACCACCAGTGTAGTTTTGAATAGGCCGTGGTTCCCACAAGGAGCTCACAAGTGCTGAAGAATTCAGTCTACGTTGCTTTGTACCCAGACTGGCTGCAAGATGCTATGGCCTGTTCCAACAAGGCAGGCTTGGCAGAAGAGGCGTGAGAGAGCTATACTCTGTATCAGCTGACAGAAAATATATTAATTGCCATTCCACTCCCACGTGCTTATTTAGTCACAAAGAACTTTGGAATAAATGTTGTCAGGTTCTTGATTTAGCCAATAAACGGCATTTCAAAATATTGTGCTTGCAGTCTTTCATTTGGCACAAGGCAAAACAAACTGTAGGAGTATTTTAACATTCTCACCACCTCTCTCATCCCTCTGACATTAAAAAAGAAAGGAAACTAATGTTTCTGGTGGGTGTCAAAGCAACTGCCCCCCACACCCAGGTTTTGTTGTCATGGAGTCAGGACTCTGATGTTATTTTTCTGGAAATTGTCGATCTTTTATAGGGAGGTCAAGATTCATTTTGTGATTATGGAAGGGATTAGATTTCGTAATGGATCACATGAGGATCCCAAGATCCCAAGAACTAGTGCCTGAGGCTGATCTCAGACATTTTCACACCAAAAATGAAATGCCAAAGCATCTCCTATCTTCTGCTCTTTTTGAGTAGCATAAAGATGGAGAGTGAATACAGGAATATGGCACCCTCTCCAGAATCTCACATGGTGTTATAGTGAGGTCGATAGTCCAGCCTCCCTCCAGCATCTTATTGTAGAGTTTTGACTAGGATGGCCAAGCACCCTCTTTTGCAGAGGATATGCCTGTATTCAGAAGACTGACTTCTGTTTTGATGGTGTCCGCTGTTTGAAAGGCTGCTCTGTCTAAGTTCAGAGTAAAACTAAAGAACTGTAAGAAGGGAGAACAGTGACCCTGAAGCTGCCCATCATCAGTGAGCGCCTGGGCAGCTGACTGGACAGGTAGGCACACAGCTCCCTTGGCCATGGGCTTCTGCACTACAGGACATGCACTGCATTCCTTTTGAAATTATAACAAGCATTTCTAAATTTGCATCCATGCATATCTATGAGATTATGAAAACTGCAAAGCAGGGCCTTCTTTTGTCTTCTGTGGTGATGCATTTCCTCTTTTCTTTTTGTGCATTTTGCAATATATAACTGGCTGCAGCTCTCATTATTCTGTGATGAGGAAAGTGAGAAGAACCAGTCTGAAAATAAGATGTTTTTCTTTCTGTGAAAACATATATCCTCTGCTTTCTCTAAAATTTCAAGGCAGCTTATATAAACCATAGAAAACACAACACAAACATTCTACTGTTCAAGTTTTTTCAGGCCCATCTTCACTCCAGGTGAGCAGCCTGGTCTCTGGACCTCTGGGCACTTCGGCCTCCCTTTCCCTCCCTTCCTCCATTTAAAATTGAGCACCCGCTCTTGGCACTCTGCTCCACCTCCTGGAAAGAGTGGAGGAAGCAGCATGGCAGCAGTGTGCATTCCTTGTTGGGAGGCAGAGGCAGAGCAGCACCACAGCATGCCCACCCCATGCCACAAGGATGGCACCTGAAAATATCCTAGTGAATAGACAGGCCACCTTTGGGTATCCCACTCCCACCCTGCACAGGGCCTCACAGGCGATGGTCAGCACTGTAACAGCCACCAGCGCCTCCTCCCAGTGAATCCCCCATGTTCGTGAAGTAGGACAATCAACGTCATGGCCGCTCCAAGGACTTCCCAGAAGAATCTGACTGGGCAGTGTGGGAGACAGAGCACTGATTAAATGGGCATTGATCTGATCCAATGTCGTTATTGCTTCTCTAAGGCAGTGGTGCCCACTCGTAACTCTGCCATGCCAAGAACTATGTGCTCTCGCTCTGTAACTTCAAAATGTGTTGAACATGCCACCCCACCCCTGCGCTATGTGACAACATTGTTCAGTGCTGCAACATCCATGTCTGGAGTCCGGGCACACCTGATGCATGCTTGGCCATGCACATGGACCTCCGGCAATGCCTAATGCCCACTGGAAGCAAACACCTGGCAGCTTGCTTGCATTCTTGACCAGGGCCACATCTGTGAATGATTCTGGATACAGAATCAGAAATCAAAGCTGCCTTGCTTTGTGCTGCTTGGAGGAATTTGTTGCTCTCTGTAAGGCTCATTTGGGTCTGTTTCTACAGAAGTGTGCATAGATTTGCACAGGTGGACTTGAGAGTAAGCCTAGTGAAGCACAGTGGGTCTTACTTTTGAGGAAACATACAGAGGATCAGGCTGCATGCCAGAGAAAGGATCATCTTTTTCAGGTCACAAAATTCAGAAAGCTGGAATGGAATCTAGTGCAACCATTACCCCCTTTTCTCTCTAAATCTAGCAGTCCTGCAAATGTCTAGTCTAGGACAGTATTAAAATCATTACAATCCATCACTCAATCATTCTTCTTTGAGTTATACCCAGACTCAGTCATGCTTATAGTAAACCCATTGAAATGAATGAGATTTAAGTTTTCACCACTAAATTGATTTCAGCTGGTTTACAACTCTAAGTTTGATTAAGTCAAGATCCAGCCCACTAACTGCTTCTTCATGAAATCAGTCCTACAGGGAAATTGCAGTTGGGTGGCTTTCGGGTTTGTGCTGAATATATATAAGATCGGAGCCTGTGAAGGTCATGAAGGAGGCTGGGATTGGCTCAGCAGATAAAGGGCTCCACGGCTTGTGGGTGAGCAGGCGTCTGGTCAGCAGAGGTGACATCGCAGAGACCACCTTCCAGAGGCTGGGAACCACAGAGAGTCTTGCCTGAAGCAGCCTCAAAGATGTGTCACTGCAAGCCATGGAGCGTCTTATCAGTGAGCAGGCAGCAAAGCTTGCTGTTCATTAAACAACAAAACCAAAAACTTTCCATGAAAGAAACAAAGACCAGTTAAGGTGTTTGCATTTATTAAACCAACTTGTTTGTTTGCCACTGAACTGAGAATTGAAGGATGATAGGCATTACCAAAAAAGAAAACAAAAGAGGACATCCACTAGCATAAAATGTGCATATGCTAAATGATAGATGCAATTTCAGACATTATTTTTATAACCTAAATAGAAGGACACTGTTTCACAATCATGTGGAAGACTGTGCCCAGGTGCCCCGTGCACCACCTGGTCATTCTGCTGCACAGGTGCACATGCACCAGCTCTCCGAGCCTCTTTCTCCTCCTCCTCCTCATCTTCTACATCTCTAAACTGGGCTTGGCTTGGGCAGCCCTTGACTAGGGGACTGCCCTCTGTAAAGTAGGACACCAGGCCACGTTGCGCTCTCAGCAGCTCTTCCACCCTAGCACATGCCTCTCCGCTGGGCTGGCGTAGGGTTGCTTGGATGCATTGTTCGCAGGCCAGGCGTGCCTGTGCTTCCAATGGTCCCTGCCTGCCTCCTCAGCTGTCCTGCAGCTTCGGGGCCCACGGTGGTCATTGTGGAACTGCACTCACCCCCGTAGTTGCAAGGGGATCTGTCACAGCGGAAAAGAAGTCTTCCGGTGGCAGTCAGGCAAACTGGAGACACAGGCAGCTGCTATGCAAACAACACCTTGACTATGTGATCTCGGTATAATATTTTTTTAAGAACGGTGCCTTGTAAAACCCATGTAGTGGATCTATTTTCAAAACAAAGATGAACTCTCACTCTTCCTTTTTATTTGGATGCACCATGGCTTATCCACTCACAGCTGGATCTGTGGCTAGTGTAAACAAAGAAAATCCATTGATTCTACTACAGCTGAACTGTTTCCTTCTGGCAAGGACCTTGCTCATTGCCTCCAATAAAACACACACACAAACACACACACACACTCGCTGTTTTCTTATGAGCTATTTTAACTCCACCTGATCGGGGATAAAGAGGATACGTGCTGTTAATGCCAACAAAAGGAGCCGCCGGGCCTCCAGCAGCTTCACTGTCTGCTGCAGGAAACAGCTGGGGCAGGAAGAATGAAGTCAGTGCCAGTGCTCTGAAAGGTCAGAGGTCTCACAATATTTGTGTGAAAAGCTTCAGAGCTTTTATGGTAAGGGAAATAATGATTGCAGGCTCCTGAACCCTGAGAGCCTCCCATGTTGCAGCAGTATAAAGGGAAGAGGCAGCAAACACTTTCCCTGCCTCGCCCCTTTGATGCTGTGACAAGAGCCAGGCTGTCATTAAAGCAAACTAGGCCTGTTTGCCACGAATGCACATCTTGGCAGCAGCGCTTCCCTCTGATGCAGGTGCCCTGTGCGTCTTCTCAGCAACCTGGAGCTGGGGATCTTTGTGGAGCTTATCACTGATCTTCCTGGGGTGCACAAGAAGGAGGTGAGGTGCCGGATTGATAGAAAGGTAAGCAAAGGATGAAGTAGCACGTTTGTAATAGCAGCAAAGAACTGCCAATCATTGCAGGGCTTTTATACTGATATCTGCCAGGATTGCTAAGAAGGGACAACGTGCCTGTGAGAATCGGTGTCAGAAGGAGCTAGGGCATCAAATGCAGCAGGTTTTCTCACATTCGAGGCCAGTCTCCTGAGTGACTGTGATAGCCAGCTCCAGCCAGGACTTCACCTGGGTGAGGCTGCTCCTGAAAGGGCAAGCGTGCGCTTGTGTAAATCTGACGACAGACAGTACACGAGAAAAGAACATGTTTGCTCTCACCCAGAGTGCAAAACAAAAAGTGTTGGGCAAGCCAAAGGAACTGTGGCTGGTGTTCAGCTTGGAGTTCAAGAGAAATGATCGAAGGCAGGCAGGCAGGCAGGCAGGCGGATTGGCTCCCAGTCACACCAGGGAGAGGAGACGGGGCAGCCGAGTCCCCTGGGATATGACTGGGGACCAAGTGGGAAAGGACGGAGGGGCCACCCACGGTGAGCCTGCTCCTCTGCTGGGCATGCGATGGGCTGCTTCACGAGCAACCCACACTGCCCGGCTTATTCACAGGGTGAGTTTTTGTGAGCTGCAGACCAGCTCTTTATGAGGTTTCTCTACAACATCTAGGCTGATTAACCTCAGGTAACTTTTACTGCATTCGCCCGGCTAAAGGCCTTCGCAACAGGATCCAGGGACCTGAGCTGTAAC